ATGATCATCCGTTTGTAAGACTGGGAAGGTTTCTGAAGTGAAGCCCTGGCAAGGGCTCGGGGCTTAGGGAGGTTAGGGTGCAGAGGTTTAGGGGTTTAGAGGTTTAGAGGTTGGGGGTTCAGGGGTTTTGGGCTTTATGGATGTTAGAGCAGGGCAAACCCCATATCCTACACCTTTACCCTGCTCCCTAATCAAGTCTTGAACCTCATCCGAAACCTTGAGCCGAAGCATCTACATTGTAGACACCGCCTTAGGCTCGAATTGCCCAGCCAGTTGGGTTTAGGGTTTAGGGTTTAGGGCTTGGGGCTAAGGGGATTTAGGGGGTGTAGCGGGTTTAGCGATTTTCGGAGGTTTGTCAACCTTCAACTGACGGCGGTTCAGGGGTAGGCTTCCCAAGGCCACAATGCAGCCCTGTGCATGTGCCGTCCACCTTACACCCAAAACCTACCCAAAAGCTCGGCCCGGAAATTGCAAACAACCCCAATCCTGACAAGGTGCCGGTGACGGGCACCTACTCCGCCTCTTGGATGAGGCCCTCAGACCGTTTAGCTACGCAGTTGAGGGTGTAAGATTCTTGGCGTCATGGCATTGTCATGGCAACAGTCCCCCAGGGTCCAGGTACCTAAATAGTATATACTTTGGCCTTAAAGTAGTCCCTATATAGGTACTTTAGGGCCAATGTATATACTATGTGCGTACATGGACCCTTAGGGCAGTATACTCCTGAGTAGGCAACGTGGGAGTTGGCTATCGTTCTTGGGAAGATCTTGACTTGAAGGGGCAACCTAGATCTACATTCCCTGCGCGAAACCTCAACCAACCCGTGGCTGCGCGAACCCGTCGGCAAGGCTTAATGACTTTAAACCCTACCTGAAACGCCGAAGTAGGTAAAACAATGGCCCAATACATAGTTTGGGCCAGTATTCTCCATACTTTTGGGGGCCAGGAAAACCCTAAACCCCAAAGATGTAGTAACGGCTCCCTGTCTTCTTCTAGAAGCGATCTCTGCCTCCGGGTCCAAGCCTTAACAAAAACTGTAAACATATTGCAGAACACGGTGTGCCTATAGTCTACAATTGCAGTTCCTTTGTGGGTTCCCTTTTGGGATCCTAGCCAAAAGAGTGGCTTAACAAAAACGGAACTGCAATGGAGACTATACGTAGTCAACACAGCAATCAAAATAGAGTAGTATAAGCAAGTACTCTAAACCCTTAACACCCTTAACCCTTAACCCTAAACCCCAAACCTTAACCGTGTTATAGTATCGGAAACCCGAAGTCCCCTGGTTTGGGGAACCCGAAGTCAGCAGCTGGCAGGCGAGCCCCCTGCGCCTCGCTGTGTCAAGCTACTGCAGCTACGAGCCCGACCCGGGTGCCGCTCCGATATTACACCGCTGTGGCTTAGTGGGTCTTGAGGGGGTTTTTGGAGGTGGCGAAATGTGGCCCAGTGGGTCTTGAGGGTTTTTTTTTGCGGGTGGCGAAGTTCTTTGGGACGGGGGTGGGTGAGTTCTACTTCAGTTTTCGGGGTTGTGTGTGTGTGTTCTGTTTGCGAGCAACGATAGCTGATCGCGCTGGTGATGGGGCCAATCGTGCTGCCGGCAGGCCGAACTACAATAGGAAAGGCAGCAGCAGGAACTGAGTGAAGCATCAACACCAGAAGCAACATCACGAACAACAGAGGACAACAGCATCAGCAGCAGCAGCCACAACAGCAGTAGCAACAGTGTCAAGACATTTGACTTGGCTCAACAGTGAGAATAACAGTAGCTCCAATACGCAAACAAATAGTACTGGTAGTGATCGTGATAGTGGTAGTGGTAGTGGTATCGGTGCGGTGGCGCTGGCGCTGGTGCTGGTGCTGTCGCCTTTAGAAGTAGAAGTAGTCGTCGTTGTCGTCGTCGTAGTAGTAGTCGTCGTCGTCGTAGTAGTAGTAGTAGTAGTAGTAGCAGCAGTAGTAGTAGTAGTAGTAGCAGGAGTAGTAGTAGTAGTAGTAGCAGTAAGTAGCAGGAAAAAAGTAGTAGTAGCAGCAGCAGCCGCAGCAGCAGCAGCAGAAGGAGCAGCAGCAGCAGTAGCAGCAGGAGGAGGAGGAGCAGTAGTAGGAGTGCCTTCACTCGCTTGCAGCGACTTGTCTTGTCTCATGAAGCGCAGGCCGTGCCATGACAATAAAGTTCAGCAGTAGTCGTCGTCGGAGCAGCGCGGTCGTATCACGCTAGCTTCAGGCGCAGCATCGCATCTTCGACAGACAGTTGCCGAGCTGAATTTGGAGGACACCCTGCATCCTTACCTCGAAACCCGAAGCTCAGGGTTCAGGGTAGACTCGGAACATGTCAAGTCCTGTGCGCTCAGGCGCAGCAGACCCTAAAGCGAACTCAGAGAAGCATTTAAGGTCAGGCTCTTGGCGATTTTTTTGTGGGTTTGGGCGTGACATTCGGCTCTGGCCACTTCGGGCTCAGAGCTTTGATGCAGCTCTAGCCCTTAGGCTGGGACCTCGAGGGTGTATGAGTTGGGCTGGCGGCATTCAGGAGTCATGCTTTAGTGAATGCCTCCGGACTTGACTCTGCGAAAGGTTGAGGGTTGAAGCTTCGACTTGCTAGCCTAAGCCCTAACCCTTAGGCCCTAATGCGTTAAATGCTATAAGCCCTAAACCGTCGACCTGCTAGCAGCCCCACAGCAGCTGGAGGACGTCGCTCTCAACACTGACGCTTTTTCTCAGCAAACTGCTGTGGGCAGGAAGTATGACATAGTCCTCTGGTGCCGGAGCCTGCTTCATTATCAGGTTTTGTGGTTGCCTGGCATATGCACTACGTAGTCCTAGAGCTGCTTTTGCGCTTGCCGAACAAACCCCAAATCAGCAACCACCCTTTCCCTCAGAAATTATTTCAGTTTCCAGCTTCTAAGGACAGTACCAAGGCAGATCTTGCGTTTTACAAAAGGTTCAGGGAGTGGGAATTAGAGAGTAGGGTGTACGGTTTGAGTGTAAAAGGCTCAGAGCACAGGGTTTAGAGAGTATTGCGATGTAGAGTTCACAAAGCAACCCAAGTTAATTTAGCTGGTTCTGCCTCATGGGGGTTTCACACTCCGTGACAAGAAGAAGGGTGCACAGGGACAGGAATAGATTGGTTGAGGAATTGGCCACTACAACATCCTGCAGCACATCCCCCCAGCCTTGTTCGGTTTAACTTCGGACCCCCTAGAGTGGATCCTTCAAAGCATATCATGAAGCCCAGACCTATAAGCCCCAAAGCCATGCAGCCCAAACGGAAAGATTAGATTCTGAAGCTGCAAGCGTCGTCGCATACTCTCATACTTGTGCTTGGCTTGATGTTCTTTCCGGGGCGTTCGGGAAATTGTCCTAAACCCGAAGCCTTACAGATGTGTCGGGTCGGCAACATCTTCCCTAGCTGCTACTGTAGGAAGGGAAGGCTGAAAGGAAGGAAATATCCTTCGCAGCCCAAGCAAACGCTTCAACGTCAGAGAAGCACTGTCGGGCACTATGAAGGCTGCCGCCTCCCCTATTGGTCCATGTACCTAAACAGTATATACTTTGGCCTTAAAGTAGTTCCTATATAGGTACTTGGGGGCCAATGTATATACTATATGAGTACATGGACCCTTAGGGCTCTACAAATTTGGATAATTTGGATAGCTGCCCAAGTACGGGTAATCAGATACATTGAGCAAGGTAGCACGAAGAGCAGCGGCAGTAGGGTGGCACATGGCAAGTGGCGTGAGGCCTCGATGTGTTCGTGCTTTGAGGACTGTAGGGCTTGTAGCTTGAGACGTGGATTCACAAGGCTTGACCCCAAGGGTCCATGTACTCATATAGTATACACATTGGCCCCAAAGTACCTATATCGGGACTACTTTATCGCCAAGGTATATACTATTTGGGTACATGGACCCTTAGGGTAAGGGTCTGTAGTCTTCTGTCAAGAAGCTGCAGCTTTCGAGCTTCTGACAGAAGCTAAGGTGCCACAGCCTCTACGGTGTGCACCGCAAAGTGCCCACGCTGCTGCACTCGCTTATGTCCCTGGCGCCTGCCGGGCACTGTGTCGTGATCTTGCGGCGTGAGAAGCTGGACACCTTCGTGCCAAAACCCGAGAATCTAAGAAACCCTAAGCATCAGGCCCTTAACCCCAACTAGACGCTAAACCAAGATTGTTTAAAGGGTTTAGGGGTTGAAAGGGTTCAGGGGCTCAGGGGTTTGGGGGTTTAGGGTGAACCCCCAAAGGCTTACCTGCACTCTCCACGATGGATCCCCAGGAAAGGGTTCCGGGATCCAGCATTGGGTGGTTTCGGGTTTTCCAGACTTTGAGGCCGCAAATGGAAGCGAACACCTGGCTTCCCACAACACCAAAAGCCCCCCCCCCCCCCATTTTATTCTACATACCTTGGGGGGTCCAGGTACGGTGGAGGATGAAGGGTTCAACTGTTTCCAACTTCTGGGCTCCAGGTTCAAGGTTCCTCAGTAGGGGTGGTTTAGGGTTTGGGGGTTAAGGGGTTTGGGGGTTGAGGGGTTTAGGGGTTTAGGGATTTGGGGGTTTTAGGGTTTAAGGGGTTTAGGGAGTCGACCCCTTTTGCCCTCTCATTTTTTGTCGTGGTTTCCTTGTTTTGGATCGGACATTAGGAAAAAGGGTACCCTTACTATTCAGGCCGGCTTCGGGGCTTCCGGGGTGGAGGGTCCAGAGACTGAGATTTGAACAGGATTCCGTGTTCAGTGGCCCAGGGGCTTCAGAGTTTGGATCTAGAGTCCATCCAGCAGAATGTAGGAACCTGATTCAGAAACCCAACCCCAAAAGAACAGCATTCATATCGGTAGTTCTCTAAATCAGGGTCCCTTTCAGAGTCCCTTGTATAAGGGTGCCACACTATATTGGGGACCTAAAGAGCGGCCCTAACTTAGAAAACTACCCAATATAAGAGAACCCTAATACAGACCCAAGGTTTCTTAATCAGATCCCACCCTAAACCCTACACCAGGAGCCTCTGTTGGATGAGCTGATGCGCTGCGGCGTGCAAGGCACGGTGGACTACTGGGAGGCATCTGTCACCCTGCCAGACCGGCTCACGAAGTCTGAGGACAGGGTTTTCAGAATTCAGCCGGGTTTAGGGTTTTAGGGTTTAGGGTTTAGGGTGAAATCAGCTTGACAGAGACCCAGACCCACTAAATAAACTAAATCCTAAACTACACGCCTGAACCCTACATAAACCCGTTCAAACTCTGCTAGAAGGACAGACAGCCTTTCCTGCGCAGTCTTCTCCCCAAAGATGTTCTCTCCCCTTGCAAGGACTTGCAGAGCATCGCCAGGGTCTTGTATGGCGCCGACACAGCAAAGATCGACCATTTCCTCTCCGAGACCGCCGGTAAACCCGCGTCAGCCTCCTTCCCGATTCCCACAGGCACTTTCGGCTCTCGTGTTTCGAGTCTAGGGACCCCACCTGGATCCCAAATGTATGTGGAAGAATGACCCTTTATAGGTATGGGGCCATGATTTTACCTACTTTTT